TTCCCTATCCTTTCCTTGCGGTGAAGAGAGAATGCGCATTAACAAGCGGAAGCCCGAGCATGGCTGTGATGCCACCTGCCTGCCAAGTCTTCCTTGGTTTCCCAAGGCTGCTTGGGTGCCTCCCCACCCACAAGACCCCACGCTGAAGGGCACCGTCTTCTCTACTCCTCTGCCACCCACCCCAGCCCTTGCCCACTTGAGCTTTCTGAGCACAGGGCCTGTGCATTGTTCCCCCAGCAGAGGGTAGGTGCTCACTCACGATGAGTGGAGGAAACAGCCATGCACGGGTTAAAGTCAGTTCTAAGGTGCTTTGAAAAAATCGGAATGAGATGAATTCAGGCCATCCCGTCTCCAGAGCTTCTGATGAATATTAGCTAATGAGACAAATAGCTGCCTGGCTTCATTCAGACGCGCCCATGGAAAAATCCGAGGTCCAGGCTGCCAGGAAAGAGTCTGGTGACTCAAGAATCTAAATCCTTATTTGGGGTTACAGCAGCCGACAGGTTTCTCTTTGAAGCTCCCTCCCCGCCCCCCCCCCCCCCCAATGTAGGTGTTCCAACACACTGAAGTGGCAATTAATTTGTGTCTTTCTTAGAATTTAATAAACTTGGAAAAGTAGTTCCTGCTTTCCCTTTCTTGGCTCCTAAGCTTTTTTTCTCTTTCCATCTCATTCCCTTATGAAACATGGTCATTATCATATAAATCTGTTTGGGGAGAACTAATAAAAATGAAAATGACTTAGATGTGGGAAACCAAAATGGTTTCTTTGGAACAGGCATTATATGGCCACTGAAATATGCATTTGAATCTTTAAGTCTTTTATTTACTCTTGATCCTTTATTTCAGAGTTCTTACGATGTTTAGGGGTTTGTGTTGACTTGGAGTTATTTACATCTGCTGATTGCTTATGTGATATATCAACTCAGCAAAGCCATAAAAGTAATTCTTATTGGTTTTTTAAAGGTGCGTTGGTGTGAATAACAAGCAATGGCTCTAAGACTCTGCAGACTTCTGACCCCCAAAGCAGTGAGGATAATGGGACTGGTTACTTTGTACATATGGAGGGCAAAACTTTCTTATTTTTTAAAAAAATATATTTTTATTGATCTCAGAGAGGAAGGGAGATGGAGAGAGAGAGATAGAAACATAAATGATGAGAGAGAATCATTGATTGGCTGCCTCCTGCACGCCCCACACTGGGGATTGAGCCTGCAACCCAGGCATGTGCCCTTGACCAGGAATCAAACCATGACCTCCTGGTTCATAGGCTGATGCTCAACCACTGAGCCACACTGGCTGGGCAGGATTTAATTCCTTTAAAAAGCTAAGCATGCACTCAAGATGTGTGTGTATGAATGTGTGCACATGAATGTGTGTGTGTTCATGCAGATCTGACTGTGAGTGTGTGGGAATGGATGTCCATAGGTAAGTACATCACACACATACCCCACCCACTTGGCCAAGAGGATGATTCAGCACGAGGCAATATGGGATGATAATGATGTTAATACTGATGAGAATAAGGTTCTCCAGTTTGTATTTCAAGTAGCATTTTAAAGAATTTTGCTCATAAATTAGGCTGGCAGTCCATAAAGTGCCATTTCCCCAGCTCTTTATAAAGCTTGATAATAAGGGTTATTGGTAGACATTGTCTAAGACCCTTAATTACAGAAGGTTATCTACTTACTATACAAGCTCTTCCACTCAGAGGAACCTGGGTGGCCCTTTAATGTTAGGAGACCACAAATCCTCAGCAATGAACTGGAGGTCTCACACAGGATGGCATCATGTCTTTCATGTCAGTGGTAAAATTCCATACCCGTGACATGTCATACCAGCAACTGCAAAACCTGCTCAGAAGATGAGGGACAGGGTATCACAGCCTCCTTATCACGGGGCCAGTGAGATAAAGTCTCACGGGATGTGCTCAATGGCCAGACAGAGTCTTTGACGGTGTTAGGGTTGTGTTAATGAGGTTGTTCAGAAAACTAGGAAATGAAACCTATTGTGAAAAGATGCAAATTATGAACAGAAGGTATCTACAATATAGTGTGCACCTTGCTTTGTACTGGGAGTGAAATCCTAGCTTTTATTTTAAATGATCTCATTAAATACTCAGTCGCCCTAGGAAGGAGAGAACAGAGAAGAAACAGTATACTCAACTGAATGCAGGTAAAGAGAGGTCTCTGGTGGCTGGAAGCCTGGGCAGATGGTGATGTCATTCACCCTAAGGGGCAGGTTTGTGGGAGGGAGGGAAGGAGGCACTGCTATTGCCATCCACTCCTAGGGTAGGCAGGTAAGGATGTGCGACTGGAAGTCGATAGGGAGATCCGGACTGCTAGCCGTTGGCAGAAAAGGCTTTCCTTACTACTGAGCAGGCATATGACAAATGCTTGCGGAAGGGATCTATGATTGTTAGGCCTTCTTTGCCATCAAGCTCACACTCCTAACGTTCCCTGGACTCTCGCTTCTTTCGTTCTCTTTCCTGAGGACAGTACCCAGCGTGCTCCCTGGATCACAATGCAGGTGGATGAGAATGGTTATTTTGTTAAGCAGAATTTGTTTTTCTCCTTTATGGTTTAAGGAGAAAACAATAATTCACAAAGCTCCAGTTCATTCACAGAATTATATGAAATCCGCAAAGCATAGCCTTGCCCATTCTAAATCAAGTGCCTGGCTTTTAAAATGGGGACCTAGAATCTCTTGGCAGAAGAAAAAAAAAATGTAAGTCTGACTTATCCCTCTATTCTTGTAGTCGGTGTAATGCAGACATTCCCTCCTGGGGATGAATAGTCCTGTGTGCCTCGAAGAGGACTGTAAATGTTTGATTCGTGACCAGACACTCTGGCTGTGAAAGGCCTGCAACCCACTAAAATAAGCATGAAAAGTTATGACATGTCACATCAGCAACTGCCTGACCACCAACAGGCAGCTAGACGACATTCCTCAGTAACATTCTATATTTATCAGAAATTGTGGGTTTTTTTTTTCCTCATCTGATGGCTTCAGACAATTTTCTAATATAAAACGGTGGGACCTGCCCAATAAGAAATTGTTAAATTTAAAATTTTAGATACCCCAAATGACAATCTCAAGAAGAACAAAATATACTGTATTTATTGCAAAGTAAATATATGTCATCCTTGTCTTCATCAGCAGGTAGTCCATTGGGGACCGTTCGCTGAAGGGCAGATACCACCCCAGTGATGAATCCTAGGGGGGCTCTAACCTTCGGGGCTTGTTATATCCCCACTAGAATAGGCCTGCACTTGACAAATGCCACCTCTCCTCCTGCACCGATGCCGGACAGTTCAGCAGTGTTCACAACTCCAGCTGGTGATTTCAGTGTGGCAATTCTTACCCAATGGTGGGGAAAACTCAGAGCCTAAACGTCTGCAGGAATCTAAGGAGCTGAGTTCCGGGCTCTGAACTGTGCTCTGCAAAGACCCAAGAATGACTGGGAGCAGACCAGGGCGGACACTGAACACAGCTGACCTCCGTGTGAGCCAGGAGGTACCAGACTCCGGCAGGATACCTGCATCTGCTGTGGAGTCTCGCTGAATGCTGCGCCCTGAGGGCTGCTGGACTTGACCCAATAGCCTGTGGAACCAGGGATACAGGGTCTAACTGGAGCCTTTTTGGCAGCTCTGTCCTTTTGAGGGGCTCTGGGGAGGAGGAAGGGGAGCGGCTGATTCCACTGAAGTGGGAAACCACATTCAGGCAAGTACACATGGACTATTCCTGGGACGTGGCACAAGCCTGAGGATGGAGAGAACCCACATAGCTCAGGGCAGAGGGACAGGTCCCTCTGGATGCCATTTAAGGGGAATGACATGACTGGGACTTGGTCTGCGGGGCATTCAGGCAAGGGGAATCCACCCCAAATGGAGGCGATTTCACTAAGACTGACATTTCAGTAGTTTTTAGTGTTAACATCTCTCCATTCTCTTTGGACTTGGAAAGAACCAATGTCTAAGGGCCCATTGGACGAGCAAAGCAGCCCTTTCTCCCCTGCTCTGGGATTGGGAAACACCAAAGCCTTCTCCCCAGGCTACTTACGTTTTAGGGCCATGAGTGGAGGAGGGGAGCCAAGCCTTTCCTTGGAGACAGGCCAGTGAACACACCGTATTATACAAATTGGAATAACTACCAGTTACTGAGTGCTCGCAATGACGGGGCACCGTGCTGTATGCCTTATGCACTACTCATTTCACCCTCACAAGTACTGTAGGGGGAAGAGGTCATTCTTATTCTTTTACTAGAGGCCTGATGCATGAAATTCGTGCAAGGGGCTTGGCCCTCACAGCCCCAGCTTTGTCTGGAAGGTCGTCCGGAAGGATGTCCGGTCTAATTAGCATATTATGCTTTTATTATGATAGATACCTAAGATGTTTATAAAGTGCTTCAGGTCACACAATAAACAGGATGTGAGCAGAGGGCTGACTCTACACTGAAACACAAGGAACAAAAACTGTGGTCAAGAGAAAGATTCCCAAAGCTCACCTTACCGTCCCCAGGTGTCAGTTACCATAAGTGGGATGGATCCTTGTGAGCCAGGCAGAGGTGCCCGTCTCCAGCAGGAGAAAGAAATGGCTTTAGTTTGATTCTTCAATCAATGCTAATTTGGGGATGAAATACAGTTTTTTGATTGCCTGGACTCCACAGGATGACAAGTGCATCTTAAGCGCAACTTTCATGAAAACTCCCATGAGCAGTTCTGTTGGTGGTGTGCTAAAACCATGCTTTTTGAGGTGTGGCCCTGGGTCAGTAGCAGCGTAGTCACCGGCAGACCAGTTAGAAATACAAATTCTCAAGCCCCGCCCCCGACCAGCTGACTCAGAAGCTGCAGGGACTGGCCCAGCAATCCCAGCGAACCAGCCCTGCAGGCTGCATGCACACTAAAGTGTGAGAATCGCCCTAAATATCCCGGAGGTAACACAAATTGAATTATTCTTTCTTTCATTCTTGCTTTTTTCTTTTCTGTAAAAAAATGCTTTTACCTCATTTCCAAATCTTCATTCTCCTGTGGTACAAATTTGTACAAGGCAACATAGGTGTTCATCTGTAATGGGTCTTTGGAAAGAGGTCCCTGAAAGAGGAAATGAAGACAAATTAGGGAAGGAAGGGGGAAGAAATGGAGAGAAGCAAGGGGAAAAAAAGGCAATGGTGAAGTGAATGCAAAGTAATTCAGTGTATGGCTCTTAAGGGTTAAAAGAGCTAAATGTTATTAAAGACCGTTTCAACCACTGGTTTATTTTTTTAAATTTCTTAGCTGAGATTGATTTTATTGCAAACCATTTGAAAACAATTATGTGGAGGTCTTTGTCAGAAATACTGTAATTTTTGCCCGGCTGGTGTGGCTAAGTGGTTGAATCCAGAGGTCACTGGTTCAATTCCCAGTCTGGGCACATGCCTGGGTTGCGGGCTCGATCCCCAGTAGGGGGTGTGCAGGTGGCAGCTGATCCATGATGTGTTTCTCACATCGATGTCTCTCTCTCTCTCTCCCTCTTCCTCCGTTTCTCTCTACAAATTAATAAAAACATTTAAAAAAGAGAAATACTATAATTTTCTTCAAATAATATTTTTTATATGGTTGTTCATGAAAAGTGATACAGGATTGGCCCCAGGAGTGAGAATATCCTCTCTATAGAAAGATGGACATGTGAATAGGAGTAACACAACTTTCATTTCCTAAAATTCAGTTTTTTTAAAAAAAATTATTTTTCAATTACAGTTAACATTCAATATTATATTAGTTTCAGGTGTACAGCATAGTAGTTAGACATTTATATAATTTTCAAAGTGATCCATAAAATTGACTTCTTTTCAGTAAGCCTAAAATTTGGTGTCTCAAGTATCCAAGGGGACCAGGTGTATATACAGGGCAATTAGTCCATTCATCCTGTGAAGAAAGCACAGATTTTGCCATCAGGCAGATTTTGGTTATGTCATGGGATCACCATCTTCTGGCTGTGAAGCCTTGCAGTAATGATGACAAGAACTACTGTTTTGATAACGTACCATGTGCCAGGCAGTGCGGTACATGCATGAGCATACTGGATCCTCACAACAGCCCTGTGAGGTGGATTTTATTGTTGTCCCCGATTTGTAGACTATAAAGAGTATTGTGTTATATAAATATTAGCTACCATTATTAACCAATTAAATATGAATGCTATATCAATGCTTACACCTTATAATACATATGATAAATTAAAAATTATATAATATATAACATAACTGTATAATATATACACATGTATATATATAATATGTACAGACATATTATGTATTACATAATATATAATTCTATACTATATTGAAATACATTATGTAATAAATACATATTATCTATAAAACAAACAAAAGTTGTGCACAACTATATCCTTTTTATTTGATTCACTCTGCTATCCAAAGCTCAAGTATCTTTTATTTTATTCTATTGATTCTATCGATTTATTCTATTCTATGGATTCTATGCTAATTATATACAAATGAACATAAAAATATAATAACTATATATTATGTACTATAAAATACAGCCGCTATATTATGTAACTGTATAATGTACACATGAGAGAGTCTCTATCTACTTGTGTGTAACACATATGTGGGAACAAACACTGCCTTTGGGACTCCCATAAATACCTGGTGGTTTAAGTTCTTCGCTTGGTCTCTGAGGTCGTCAGTGCCATTTTCTGGATACGTAAACACTGAGGAGACAAGGGGAAGCAGGGGTTTTATGGATCCAGTCACTGTGTTTTGGAAACATGATTGAAAACTTGGTTTCTTACTCCCTGTCACAGAGTCTATTTCACTTCTGCCTTTGCCTTGTTCTCGGTGGCCCAGCTTGCCTGTTGTCTGTGGGACGCCTCCCGGGCTCCCTGTGCGGGTTCTACACCGCCTGCTCTGCGCACTCACACCCTTGCACACGCCTCCACTGGCACATCCTCTCGCTTGCCTGGCAGTTGCGTGTTTACAACTGGGTCTCCCTGGGAAGTGCTCTTCTCATGAACAGAAACCGCGCCCTGCGTCCCTGTTACATGTATCCAATCACTCGTTATGGGAAGGAGGGTGATGGAGGGCCCGATTTAATTGTATCCGAATTACCTTTTCTAAATACCGGGTTTTTCCTCATCTATTGTCAATATCTTGTTTCTAGTTTGTTAATGTTATCTATATTCTATTTTTCAGATTAAAGTGTTAGTTTTAAATTTCAAAATAGTTCCTTGATCTCTTATTGTCAGTGCACCGAGGCAATTATTCGGATTAAAGAGTAAAAGTGTGGTTTCTCATTTGGTTTGTTCTTGGGCTGTGGAATTCTCTTCCTTTTGGGTTTAAGCAGCCAGTTGGTGGCCTTTGGTAAGAACAAGGCTCTGACCATGGGCAGGCGTTTCCGCTGCCCATTGCACAGCTGCGGCAGGCCCCTGGTGGCGGTGAGGGCTCTGCCATGGCCCGTTCCAGGAGCCGGGTGTACCCTGGTGACAACGGCATGCCTTATTCTCACTGCGTGTCTCCTCCTGAAACACAAATGTGGCGAATGTTTCCAAGTTTATAGAGTACAGTCACGGTGTCCAAATTAACCCGCCATTGAGAGGACTCCACATTTAAACGTAACGCTGCTTTATTCTTCCCTTTGTTCTCCCTGTAGATTATCGAGGCAATCTCAGGAGAGGAAGAGACACAGCCCACCCAAAGCTCTACCCCCTACTTCAGTCAGTGCACCTCCATGTCCCTAAGAGGGACTCAGTAACTGGTGTAGAGAACACGCTTCAGAACAAGAGCCCCTGTAAATGTGCCGATGCTTAGCAAACGTCTCTTCTCCAGAGCCTGCGGACACAACCCCATCATCCCTAGGAGGCCAAGATGCACTCGTCGGAGGAGCTCTGGTCGGTAGGTAAGTGGAGAAGGAAGGCCCAAACCGATGGGCCTTGTCTGCCTCCATATTTGGCCACTCGACAGTTGAAAATGAGTAGAGGCCAGGTGATATAATGTGATGACCTAAAATCTTGGTGTAAATATTTGATTCCCTAAGTAGAAAACCGGAAACTTCTAAAAGAATATTAAATTATTGAATGAAAACACACAAAGAGAATCTTCTAGATTTGATTGGAGCTAAAAAGGGGAAGTACATAAGGTGCATAGGCAATGAACAGCTTGGATGGCATTTACAAGTTGGTAATTCCACGTTATTTTAGCTTTTTATTGAATATCCCTTAAGTATCTGGTTTGAAATGTGTATTACTTTTGTGAACTACGTTAAAAATCACTTGAAGTGACCCCAAATGTGTTTTTAACTATATTGTTGCAAGCACAACTGAACAGTGCCAAAATGATTTTTAAAACCCAATCCTTGCCCTGGCCAGTTTTGTTCAATGGTTAGAGCGTTAGCCTGTGGAATGAGGGTCTCGGGTTCGATTTCCAGTCAAGGGCATGTACCTCGGTTGTAGGCTCTGACCCCAGGAGGGGTGCTGTCAGGGCACGTGTGGGAGGCAACCAATCAACGTGTCTCTTTCACATCTATGTTTTTCTCTCTTCCCCCTCCTGCCTCTCTTCTGCTCTCTAAAAAATCAATGGGAAAAATATCCTCGGGTGAGGATAAAAAATAAATAAAACCCATTCCTTTCAGAATCAAGTCTATTTACCAAAAATATATCATACAACTTTTATGTTTGCTGCTTTAAATTTATTTTATTAAAAATAATTTGATTTCTAATTTCATTCAGAACAAGTATTCAAAGAATATATCCCTAGTGCAGGCATATTTTTAAAATTAAATTTATTGGGGTAACACTGGTTAATAACATTATATAAGTTTCAATTATACATTTCTATACTACATCACCTGCATATTGCACTGTGTGCTCACCATCCAAAGTCTATCTCCTTCAGTCACCATATATTTGACCTTCTTTACCTTCTTCATCCTCCCCTACCCACTTCCCCTCAGGTCACCACCATACTGTTATCTGTGTCTCTGAGTTGGTTGCTTTCTGTTTTATAGCCTACGTATGAGTACAGTCATATGGTTCTTATCCTTTTCGATATGACTTATTTCACCTAGCAATATTTTCTGGTGTTATAGATGCAAAATGAATCTTTAGTTTCGTCACATCCCCAAAGGACTGTCTTCTGTTCCTTTTCCATATTCTGTCTTTCTTTTTTTGCTTTTCAGTCCTGTGAGGCCCATGTTCACTACTGTGCTTTCTAATGATATGATTATTCTTATCTTTAACCTGATAATGCAGCCAGTGACCTTATTGGCTTATCTAACATTGACCCAAATTTGCGTCCCTGGAATAAGTCCAACTTGGTAATTATGCATTGTCTTTTCAAAATACATGATTGGATTCAGCTTACTAGGATTTTGTTTCAGATTTCTGCTTCCATATTCAAGAGGGAGACTAGCCCGTGATTCTCCTTTCTCCTACTGTCTTTGTTGGTTTTAAGGTCAGAATCATATTAGCCTCATAAACGAAATTAGACAATGCTGCTATCCTTCCCCCTGGCCACTTCTCGTTGTCCAGAATGAGCTTCTGTAATATGGAAACTCTCTTTTCCTTCAGTGTTCGGTAGCGTTTACTTACGCAGTTGCCTGGGCCTGGTATTTTCATGGTGCAAACCCTTGAAACATTGATCCCATTTCCGTCAGAATTAGGAGCAAATCCAAGGTCTCTACTTCTATCGCTTCTTGAGTCAGACTTTGCTCAACGGCATTTCTCTTGGCATTTGCCTACTTAAAAATAGTTTTAAATGTATCGGCGTGCAGTTGGCCATGAGATTCTTTATTTTACTTTTGATCTGTTATAGTCATTCTTTTCATTATTGCCTTTTGGTTTATCTCTCTGTTTTATTCTTAAAATTGTTAAGTGTTATGCATTTAATTTTTAAAGAACCACTTGTAGGACTTATTATCTATCTTTGCCATTTAATCATTTCGCTCTAATCTTTATTTGCCTTTCTTTGGTGGGCTCTATTCTATTTCTTTTGACTTCTTAAATATAATGCTTAGGTGATTACTTTTTAGCATTTCTTATTTTTTAATGGAATAGTTTCAAAGGTCTATAGTTACAACTTTAGCTGCATTCCACAGTTTTGATATGTAGTGTTTTCCCTTATTTAGTTTTAAATATATTCCAATTTTCATTGGAATATACTTCATTTCTTTTTTAATACACGAGCTTTTTAAAAGTTTATTTTAATTTCTCAAATTATAGGTTCTCCTACTTATCTTTTGACTATTGATTTTTTGGTTGTCAGAAAGATGTGTTCTATATAATATTAATTTATGAAGCTTGCTTGTGGCCTACCAGGTGATCAATTTTTATAATTGTTCCAAGTGTTCTTAAAAAGAATTTGAATTGTCCATTTGTTAGATGGAGTGTCCTTTTTTGAGTCAATTAGAATTGTCAAACATGTCCTCATTTCCTCTATGTCTATACTAAATTTTTTTGTCTATCCAACTTGCCAATGATTGAAAGGTGTGTTAAAATCCCTCACTATGAAGGGGAATGTCAATTTTCCTAATGGTTCTATCAATTCCTCTTTGAGTTTCTGTAATTTAAAGGCTACACATTAGGTGGATGGAAGTTTAGAATTTATACCTTCTGGTGAAGTTGATCATGTAATGATACTATTCTCTAGTGATGTTTCTTTTTTGGGGGTTCTTAAAGTCCACCCCCAGTTAATATAGCTATATAATCTTTCTGTTGCTTAATATTTGTCTACAGTAACTTAAAATTTAAAAATTTTTTTTTTCAATTACAGTTGACATATAATATTATGTAACTTCAGGTGTATAGCACAATGATTAGACATTTATATAACTTTTGAAGTGATCACCCTGATAAGTCTAGCACCCATCTGACACCATACTTAGTTATTACAATATTATTGACTATATTCCCTCGGCTGTACTTTATATCCTTGTGACTGTTTTTATAACCGCGCTTTTGTTAATCCCTTCACCTTGGCAACCATCAGTTTGTTCTCTGTATCTATGAGCTTGTTTCTGTTTTGTTTTGTGTGTTTTATAGATTCCACATATAAGCAAAATCCGATGGCCTTTGTCTTTCTGTGTCTGATTTATTTCACTCAGCATAATACTCTCTAGGTCCATTCATGTTATTGCAAATGATCTGGACACTAATTATGTGTTGCAAAAAAAAACCATAATATTTGCATTTGTAATTTGGGAATTGTCCACTGGAGGGGGACCAGAACCAGGGGCATCTGCCAACAGAGCCATTAAAAGATTTGCTTCCTTTTTTCTTTTCTTTTCTGGTGACAACTCAAAATTTGAGATATAGAACCAGTGCATACTAAAGGCAAGCATCAATTTTACAAACATGAGCTTGCTATTTTTCTTCCTGGGCAGAATTTCTTTGCTTTAGTGCAACGCAAGGTACTATTCAGCTTTGTAATATCCTCAAGTGAATGTGATCACCCAACCCTTTTCAAAGAATAGTTCTAGGAATCTGTCTTGCTTATGTTCTCCCCGCACCCCCCCGCTTCTTTTCCGGGAAAGTTATGATCACATCTAGTTAGACTGAAATGCAATTATTGAAGGCAGCCAGTAACATCATTATTTGGCATTTCATGCTGAAATAGGCAACCTAGATTTTTCTTCTCCCTTTGCTCATTACCTTGCTTCCCGTGGAGTCGCTGGCAGTTAAAGCAAAGGTGAAGACCAACAATTCTCCCCGTCTACATTTCTAATGCATCCAGCAGTAGTGTTGAAAACAACAACCAGAAACGCTCAGACCTGCCCAAGATCTTCTCTAAAGAAAACGCAGACTGCATTCTTACCAGTAAAGAAATGAACATGAATTGTACCCTCTTCTAAGGTGGCTTTGGAAATACTCCTCCAGGTCGGACTGGTGTGGCTTAGTGGTTGAGTGGCGACCTATGAACCAGGAGGTCACAGTTCGATTCCCAGACAGGGCACATGCCCTGGTTGGGGGCTCGATCCCCAGTAGGGGGCATGCAGGAGGCAATCAATCAATGATTCTCTCCCATGATTAATGTTTGTATCTCCCTCTCCCTCTCCCTTCCTCTCTGAAATCATTAAAACTATATTTTAAAAAATAGTTCTCCAGGATTTGACATGCTGCCTGGCTTGGCAGAAGTAATATCTGTGTGCACTGTGCATGTTTTAGAACATAAAGGAAACATGTAATGCAGAACTGCTTGTGACTGGAAGCTCAGGCGCTGCTTCTGCAAAGCCAGCACCATCCTTGCCATGACGGTGAGAGGACTAGTGAGACCTGGGACCCCGTAAGCAGGGTGTTTTCTCTGTTGTTTCTCAAACTGCATGGACAGAGGATTAAATCAAATCAAAGCAAATGTTCTGAAGCAAACTGCTGCATAATTAATCTCTCCTGCTTCCAAGGGTGCATTGTAAAGAAAGCTACTGCTGATCAAAGGAATGGCCAATAGATCTCCAAAGCTTTTTAGAGGTTTATTGTTTGCTAAGTTCTTTAACAGATTTCTTTGAATAAGTCAGTAAAAATGCCCCTTCACATAAAAGAGATGGTGAATAATCAACGTTGAGTCTTTGAGTGTGTTACTCAGCGCCTTAGTTTATGTAACAGGATGTGTTGTGTGTAGGGGGAGAGGGGGGTTTGTTCCATGATTTCTAATCCTGCTTCTTAAACTTTAATAAGATTCATATCAGAGATTCACATATAAATTCTGATTCTGGTCCTAGCCGGTTTGGCTCAGTGGATAGAGCGTCGGCCTGTGGATCAAAGGTTCCTGGGTTTGATTCCAGTCAAGGGCACATGCCTCAGTTGCAGGCTTCTCCCAGGCCCAGGCCCTGGTCAGGACACGTGCAGGAGGCAACCAATCAGTGTGTTTCTCTCACATTGATATTTCTCTCTGTCTTTCCCTCTCTCTTCCACTCTCTCTAAAAAAATCAATGGAAAAATATCCTTGAGTGAGGATTAAAAAAAAAAAAATCTGATTCTGCAGATGATCTGGAACAGCCTGAGATTCTGCATTTCTAACGGGCTCTCAAGTGCTGCCTGGGTTGCTGGTCCAGGGGCCACACGTGGAGTAGTGAGGCTCTAGGCTGCATCCCTGACACTTTATGACCTTGTGATGACTTAGTTAATAGCAATCCTACTGCCGAAACCAGTTTGGCTCAGTGGATAGAGCGTCGGCCTGTGGACTGGAAGGTCCCAGGTTGGATTCCCGTCAAGGGCATGTGCTTGGGTTGCGGGCACATCCCCAGTAGGAGATGTGCAGGAGGCAGCTGATTGATGTTTCTCTCTCATCGATGTTTCTAATTCTCTGTCTCTCTCCCTTCCTCTCTGTAAAAAATCAATAAAATATATTTAAAAAATAATAGCAATCCTACTTCATATTGATGATTCCTATATGAATGATGATTCCTTCACATTATAAAATCCTATGAAGACCGCTTTTGGAGTAAAGAAACCCCTGGACAAATAAAGACCGTAACTATTAAGGGAATGGGCGAACGACAGCTTCAGTAGAGCTGGACCAGGATGACGGAGACAGAGAGGCAAGGTGAGGGGCACATACTGGGCAAGAGTTTGAAGAGCAGCAGATAAGACCTGCTGACAGATCAGATAGGAGGTGTTAGAAGAATGGGGAGTCAAGGCTGATGCCCAAAGGTTTGGCCTGATCAACTAGTAGAATAGAGTTCCTATTTACTGAGCAGAGGCAACCTGGGAAGAGCCGGTGTGTGTGTGTGTGTGTGTGTGTGTGTGTGTGTGTGTGTGTGTAGCAATCAAGAGTCCAGTGTTAACTTAAAATGCCTATTCTGCATTCAGATGGCCATGGCCAGTAGGCTGCAGGGGTCTGGAGGCAGCAAGGAAGCCTAGTGCTGGAAACGAGGTTCCAGAGTCATCAATGCATACATGGTATTTTCTTCAAAAAAATTTTTTTAAAAATTGATTTCAGCGAGGAAGGGAGAGGAAGATAGAAACATCAATGATGAGAATCATTGATTGGCTGCCTACTGCATGCTCCCTACTGGGGATGGAGCCTGCAACCCAGGCATGAGCCCTGACTGGGAATTGAACCATGACCTCCTGGTTCATAGGTCAGTGCTCAACCACTGAGCCACACCGGCTGGGCCATACATGGTATTTTCATTTATCATCTCATTTAAAGATGAAAATATCCAATGGATTTTGTGATAGGATTATCCTCACTTTACAGATGAATCGATAGAGGCAGAGAGAGGCTGGGTCACTGCTTCACAGCCACGTGATCACCAAGCGAAGCCCAGCAGGCTGTCTCCAGAGCAAGGAGGGATCAAGGACCAAATACACCCGGCGTGGTTAGTGATGAGGAGACCATCACATTGTTGAGAAGTGTCAGGTAAGGGGAGCAGGCGGAAGGCAGACTCAGGGACAGAGCAGCCGACCAGACCTGAAGCATGAAAATGCAGGCGCGTCTGGTTTATATCCCGGTCTCTCGTGAGTTTGTTCTCCAGATGCTGAAGGACTTAGGGTTGCTGTCCAAATTCAGTTGCTGGACAGACTTGGGCTGGATGGCCCTGCCGTGTCTCTGCTTGTTGTGAGGGTCCCCTGGCCATCGCACTCTTTAATTTGGCTCTCCAATGGCTCTGCTAAGTGCTCAGTGCATGTGTGCACTGACCTGAAGGGCAGTTTTCCCCGCGTGGTGCAAAAGAAGCCTTACCCTCGCTGTGTGCTTTCGCAGATGTGAGCAGGCTTGGAAGGGGGCCCGTGCTATTTAGGAGGAAGGGTCATGGGGAAAGCTAAGCATGTGCTGCCTTCAGGGACTCACAGAGGCACAGTCCCAGCGAGACAAGGGGCACACCGGAGTTCCTAGAACTGAGGGAGGGAAAGTGATACCTTGTCAGACAGCCACTGACAACGCAGCTGTGGGATACCGTTTCCGGTCTGGAAGAGGCAGGGCAAACAGTCAGGTGGGAAACTGATCCAAGGGGCACATCCCCACGCTTTCCATGCAGAGTCGGGCGGGGTCACCTTGAGGATGCACTCAGCCCATGACTCAAGTCGGTACATGCAGCCGCACTAGATTATGAGCCACCTGAGGACAGCATTGGTGACCTAGGTACCTTTGCAGGTGATGGTAAATGCTCCAGAAATATTTTTTTGAATAATGGAGTGGAGATTGAGTAATTTCCAGTATTCACATTAGAGAGCATTGGCAAGATGAATTCATAAGAAGCTCATTATGTTTCCTTAAACTCTAGTTTAAGAGGCAGCTTTTTCTTAATGTTAGCAAGCAATATATGTAGTTAGCATCTAATAATTATTTTAGAAATCATTGTAACAGGGCATAAGTAATGAAAGAATAATAGTGTGGTGAAGGCTGGGGGTGGGGACAGGTGCGGATGGACGGGGGTCATGGGGGGAAAAGGGACCACCTGTGATACTGTCAACAATAAAGATAAATTTTGAAAAAAGAATGTTTGGCTAGATTGCACATACCAGGGACTTAGTTTTCTCTGCTGGGGAGGAGCCAAGTGTGAGGCCCCTACTCCGCTCCCTGGCACCACCACCCGCCTGGTTCGAGTACTTGAGGTGTAGCCTGGAGTAGCTTCTCCGTGGCTTTGCTGATCTTGCAAAGGTCAGTGGGGGAAATGATGCATTAACAAAAGGTCTGGAAGTGACTCCTAAACCCCATTTTGTTAAGCCATAAGGCATGAGAATGCAGGAGACAGAACGCAAGGAACAGTGTAGTCAAATCACTGACACCCACCAGCAACGATGCCCTGTTTCTCTGCAGAATGCTGAGCACTTGCCCCGGTTGAATTCTAGGGCGAGCAGAGAAACCAGGGGACTGGACATCGACTTTCCCTGCCCCCTGACTCAGGCTAATGCGATTCACCTTTGTGCCGGGACCTGATTTCCCATTCATTCCCTCACTCACCGCTGTTGCTGCGTTTCCGTAGGTCGTACCCATCTCCTGGCCCGTCGGCTTCTTCAGGAACCTCCACCAGGTCCGAAGTCTTGGAGAAAAGAGGGAACAGCATTGGATGAGCATGTCACATCACTGGGCCAACTGAACAGAGATTTCCATGTCTGAACATCGAAGGTAGGATTTGCAGGACACTGTCCTAAGAATCCAATCACGGCTGTCTTGTCTGCCTGGCTAACTTCAGAGGGTGTGCGTTCCCTCTTGGGCACCGTCCCTTTTTTCAGATTGCCTCTCTCCTAAGGCCAGATGCCCCCACTTCTCTCTGCCTGGCTCCATAAAAGAGGAATTTAAGGGGCCTCGATGAAGAGTCACACTTTGTAAACATTTTATGTGTATCTTATCAGAGGAGGGCAAGGCTCTCTTCCTACCTCTCCCAGTCCGCTCTAGAGCACTTTAGCGCCAGTCTCCAGAGACTAACTTTTATTATAAAAAACTTGTCTAGGGTTTTTCTCAGCCTTTCTTACTCTCATGACACCTCAGAAATAAGAAATGTCACAGGGTCTCCAAGTCCTCTGCATCCTGCTCCTTTGAAGCTCACTATTTCTGAACAAAAGTTGCTATTGTGTTCATTTAATTTTATGAAACTGAAGACTGTTCATGAATCAGTCAGCCAACTCCCAGGAAGTGTTTTAAATTCGGTTTCAGCAGGCCTTCCCCAAGCCATCAAACCTTTTATATTCTAGAGCACTTGAAAGCCATTAAAGGAGACATAACAATTTAGAAACAAGCCAGGCAGTGACTTCCCAACAATGTAAAGCAAATGCCTCTCTAGCCCTGGGAGAAAAGCAACCTGTGGGCCCGAGCTTTGCGATGTGGGAATATGTTAGCTTGCGGCCATAACACCGCAAAACCGGCAAGAGGCTAAAATGCATTATGATTTGCCCCTGCAGAAAGGAAGCAAAAGCATTTTAAAGTACCAATCAATCGTTTCTTTTTTCTTCCATCGAGTCCAGTTGGACTCCGGGGAAGGAGTGAAGTGACAGATACTTAAGCACAGTTGGATTTATCTTGGTCTCCCTGCAGGTTTTAGAACAATGCTGTCACAGAGCAAAATTCCAAGAAATCTTCCCTGATGGAACCAGTGCCAGGAAGCGTAAGTGGACTGTGATAAATGGACACCTTATTGACATTCAGAAAACGATGCTCTTTGCTCCTAAAACCAGCCTGTAGGGTCCAGACATTGCTAGCAACAAAGCTATTTTAGACATGAAAGGGAACTGGACAAATGGGCTCTCTGATGGTCTTGCTGCTTCTTGGCTTGAGCCCAGAATGTGGAGGCCGAAATGGCCATTGCCTGTTGGGAGTGCATCTGAGGCGTTTCCTCCCACAAGGGCAGCGCCATGGGGTTGATGAGGTCAGGCCATGTCTGGGGAAACCTTTCTGCTCTTCCTTCCGGGCTGGCTTTGCATCTGCCTTCCACACAAGCCAGCCTCGGGCGGGCACGGGGGATGCATGAGCTGAGAGGGACTGAGGATGTGGTGGCTCACCCCAGAGATGTGAGAAAGGCCTGCTCAGGATGCAGGGCAAGGTGAGTGGGCAGAGGTCTCCCTGCTCTAGCCAGCACTGTCTGTGCTTTTCTTTTGGATTGCTGGGAAGTGTCCACACAAAGTCTTGACATGCACAGAGCACTCATTTCCAGCGAGGTAAAACATAGGAGAGGGGCGTGGGAGGGGTGACTGTCCCATGGAGAGAAGCCCCCCTAAATCACAGGTCAAGCACCTCTGGGGAGGGTTTTTTTTTGTGTGTGAATCCAAGGGTATACCTTGCCTTAGAGAGAAAGGATTGAGGAAACGTGAGAAATGGCTGTATTGTTGAACTGGGATGGAGCTGGAGGGAGAACTGGGCCAGCTGGGACTCCCTGCTTCTGCCCATTATTTGAGTCAAACCTTTCTGTGCTATTCACATGTTATCTAACATTGGTGGTGGTGGTGGGGGGCGGGGGAGTGAATGAGTATATAAAAGAGAAAGTCAAGGAACATGAAGCCAAGAGTGAGGTCTTTGAGGGGGAAAGTTAAATGATTCCTGGGTGTTGGCAACAGAAAATTAACCTTCAATGGCCCAAAGGCTTTTGGGTTTCCATTTGGAGGCTGCCTGACTCGCAACAGCGCCGCCCTCATGATGCATTTAGGCGGAAGCCACTGACCGCAGTGCCTGAGCCCCACCCTGCCCAAGGGCACCAAGAGGACAATTACAGAGGTTCTGTGCGGGGAGTCCGAGCCACTGCCGGAGCTGCTCTTCTTTGTCCTCTGAGCCAGGGAGGTGCCGAAGCGGAGGGCCTCGTAGACAGGGTCCACCTTATTGCCACAGGCTGCAACAGAAGAGAAAGCTCATCTGAGAGAAAGGTTTCAGTTCACTGTCAGGAATGCAGCCAATCACCTTTCACATATCCTGGGCTGCCTCATGCATCGCCTATCCCATGCACCTGAGAAGCAGGTGCTGCTCAGACCCACTGCCCCCCTGGGAAACTTGGTTTTTGAGGTCAAGTTTTCCTCACAAGTGTGTCCCCCATGACATGTGCCCATTTGCTAGGGACCCCGACAACACCTGGCACCCTCTGCTCCCAAATGCTTCCTGATGGATTGATTTTCCTTTTTTTTTTACATTTATAATCCATCCCCCAGACTCCAATTTCAAGGTTCTTTCCAAAGATCATCTTTACTTAATCGAGTGCGAAGTGAGGCTTTCCCAGGTATGAAGCCTTTGAGATCTGAAGTTTGCAGGAGGAAGCAAGTGTTTTTGAAAGATTTGGACATTCCCAGGCTTCATGAATTGTAATGCCAACACTTTAGTGTATAAATTTTTAGTTTAAAACTTGCCACTCTGCTCCCTGAAAGACAAACATCGATGTAGAGATTTTGTTAGGGAGAGAAAAATAGAAGTACACTGAATGATATTGTTAAAGAATAAATTCAGTGTCTATAAATATAAGGCATTTTTTTGGTCTCAATTGAAGAATAGCTGATATTCACTGAGTTCCTTTCAGGCATTGGTCTATAATTTATATTTTACAACAATTATAAAAAACAGCCATTACTGTTCTAATTTTATAGGGTTTGACAGGGTGGGTAGCTTGTGCAGACACACATTGGTCAGCGGGGAAGCTGGGACTTGAACCAGGTCTGTGGAATGCCGTACCCCATGCTCTTTCCACTCCATTATGCTGCTGATGGGTGGGGTAGCATATCAGCAGCCTTTGGGATTTGGGTGTTGTTTGAGCTTCATTAGGGAGAGGATGCATATTCCTGCAGAATTGGGTCCACATTATCTTTCCCTTCCAGCAAAATACACAATCATGACCCCATCAGCCACCAAACAAATGCACACACACACCCCATGGGTTCTGCAGTCCTGGGAGAACAGCAGCCAGGAATGCTGACATTGCTGCTCAAAACCCAACTCAGCCCATCAATGTCCCAACTCACCAATGGGCATAACTTCTTTAATGCATCCAAATTGTTCATGAATGAGCAAGGGGGAGCTGTAGTAACGCCGAAACCCTTTTGGCTGGGGAGAGAATGAGAAAGAGAAGGGCTTATTGTCACTGATGAGAAGAAGAGAACCACATAAGAACTCTAAAAAATCAAACCAGTTGATTTTTCGAGGGGCACCTCCTTGTCTCCCTTCAAGATGTTGACTTGTGCTATCGAATACCCTTGGAGGGTGGCAATAAGCAAGCCACGCTCTATCCAGAAAGCGAGCCTCAGCCTTGCCCTTCCCTGTCCTGCTGCTTCCCTCTCTGTGGCCCACTGCAGCCTCCCTTGTGTCTGGGATCCTCATTATCTCCCAGGATACCATGGACCATTATGCCTTATTTCACTACAGCTCATTATTGTGGTTGGTTAAAATCAGCCTCTGAATGGGAAAGCAGCCTTTCTATGTTTCATTGAGCTCTACCAAGAACGATTTGCTTTGTGTTCTAGATTCTATTCTGTTTTCTGACTTCTCATCCATGGTCTTTGCCTTGACTTGTGGAAATAACCTTTGGAGGAGGAGGTAGGGTTTTAAAGAAGAGGACATTGTTAATCAGAGTAAGTTGATGAACTCTCTAAGAACTTGACTACTGTATTCCAGTATTGAAAGAAAACGTAGTGGCCCAGCCTTTGCTAGAATTCCACAGTCCTTTCCAAAGTCCCTGGCAGTGGTATCTACTTTGTTTGGACATTGCCAGTGACAGAGGATGGATGGGGGAGCTCTCACTAACCCTGGAGGTAGGTCTTTGGTGACTTCATCTCTGACTTAAAACTTGGTACATACTGATTCTAGGTCTTTCTTCCTGGAGCCACAGAGGACAACAGAATCCCTCTTCTGTGTGACACATATTATTATTTTTTGAAGTTAGCTGTCATGTCCTAAGTATCTCCAGGGTAGAAATTCTTGGTTCCTTCTACAATTCGTTGGCCATCCTAGTTTTGAAATCTCTGGGTTGCTTTTGAGTGATGTGTGGCACCAGTACTGAAAGAAGCCCACACTCTTGAGATGGTATGATCAGTCCAGAATGGGCCAGGGTCACCCAACCTCCCTTGGTTGGGCCACCATGAGTCTATTAAAGTGCTGTAGACTTTTATTACTCTCTCCACTTTTGGGAGGGTGGTTAATCTCTATCCTACTTATGACTCCCACTGAGCTGTCAGCCAATTAAGTACTAGAATGACCAGCCACCCTAGTTTGCCTGGAGCTGGGATATGGTTCCTAGGGTGCTTAACTTTCACTTTTAAAACCTGGAGAGTTCTAGGATGTGGGACTTCCCGTGCTAAAGCTAGGACAAGTTGGTCACCATGTGGAGCATTCATCTCTTGGGCTGACAATGCTCCTTCTCTGCTCTGTCACTTTGCCAACCAGGAAGCCAAGCTGGCAGACCAGGGGTTCTAGGGCTGCCTTCCTGGTGTCCAGTTCTCACGGGTGCTGCAGAGAAGGAGTTTGAATGGAGTGATCTCAGGGGCAGGCCCTTACCAGCTTGCCCATGCACCGCTGGGGTGCTAGGCCATCCATGCACTTGTGGTGGATGCTCATCTTACAGGCTTTGCAGCGTAGTCCATGCTTAGCATTTGTTCCTGTCAGACATACAGTGAGCTTTGGTTAGGATACACCCTGCCCTTTGCTGGTGACTAGTATGAAATCCCTGGGAAAGTGATTACTTCCATAACCCAGGGAATTCTTTTCTATGACCTTTGCATGAATCTTTCAAAAAGGGCAAACTATTATGGTAGAATCTTTTACCTTCCCCCCAATTTCTACCTAAGGTGTTAGCTTTGGTCTGCCCCCCTCCTTTTCTATTCATTACTCTAGAATATCTTAGCTGCCTCCACTTTCATTGTTTTCTCAATTCAAGGCAGAAAATTCCACTTTCTTTGCTCTTTATATAGGTCACCTGTTTCTGCTCTTCTGCGTATGCTATTGAGTAGCGTGAGTCCTTAATGATTTGGTGGGAACCCACTTCTAACTTTATCTCAGGCCAACCCCCTCTTGTTCACTTTGCTCTAACCACATGCTCTTCTTCAGGTTCCTTGAAAGCACAAGCTCTTTAATGCTTTAGGGTCTTTGCACATGTTGCTCTGTAAGCCTGGAATGCTGATTCTATCACTCTTCACTTGTCTTGCTACTCCTCATCCTTCAAATCACTTGTCATTTCTTCAATGAGGCTTTCTTGGAAATATTCCCCTTCCATTGTCTAAATGATCTTTTTCCTATTATTCTTTTTCACAGCATTCTGTCACAGTATTTCTAAAATCACATTTATTTATTTTGAGAGTTTGTTTCTGTCTGCCTTTTCCTCTGGACTATGAATGCAATGAGGCTAAGTTTGTCACTGTATAACCAGCTCTGAGTATGATGGTCAAGGTATTACATAAATTAACAAACAAATCCTTCCATAGTCACATATGTATTAAAACAGTGGTGCCTGATTTAGATAGTAAATTGAGGCTGATTCATGGATGGCTTAGAGATGACAGTCAAGAGCTGAAAGAGGACTTGAAGATCATTTATATGTATGAGATTATTTTTTATTTATTTTAAAATATATTTTTCTTGATTTCAGAGAGGAAAGGAGAGAGATAGAAACACTAATGATGAGAGAGAGCCATTGATTGGCTGCCTCCTACATGCCCCACACTGGGGATTGAGCCAATAACCTGGGCATGTGTCCTGACCTGGAATTGAACCATGACCTTCTGGTTCATAGTTGAACGCTCAACACTGGCTGGGCTGTTTGAGATTATTTTGCAGATATGCAGCCTGGGGGTCTAAGCAGTGGAATGGTTTGCCTCAGGTCAGAGAAGTTTCTGCCTGGTTTCACTCTTTCACTGCTTGACCCAAATATTCTCTCCTTTTATTTGGGTTGCTTCACCTACATGAAGATGTGCTTGGTGATAATAAGGTGATAAAATCTGACATTCAGTGGAAAAAACCAATGGGCAAATGTTTGATTGGGAAAGTACCTGGAAACCCTTCACGAGGTAATACCTGAAAAACCCTTTCAGGAACAACTCATTTAACACAAAGTATGTCTGCTGTTAGAACCACAGAAAGTCTAAGTGATGTATAAACACATCATAAATTACTGGCTATGTGTGCTTGTTCATAAATAGTAGTTGGAAAATCTTTTTTCATTTTCGAGGAAAACAACTTAGCTGAAAGACTGCAATGCCTTCAAAAGACTGGACTTCCAAAGAAATCACTTATTTTTTGTTTTTGAATTAGGGAAAGCTATTTGTGCCCTTTGTAAAAATGCAAGTAAAAGCTTCAAAGAAGAGAGTTATTTCATTGTGTGCTGGACTCTGAAATAGCACCATTATATATTAAAGAATGTTTTCCTTCAGACCTGAACACCATAATTTCAGTTTTCCTTGTCTGTTCTAACACAATCTGTTTTGTACGAGTCAGACCATCAGCAATTCTTTGGTTTTAGGTGTTCCAATTTCTACTCTGGAATAACAAGAATGATTGAAGAGGAAAGCTTGTATGCTGTGGCTCGGAGAATAGTTCAAAAGAATAACTCACATTTGAAGCAAGATATGGGAAATCTGTGGTCTGACATGTGCTATTAATAGTTACCACCATCACAAAGACATCGCTGAACGTAACCCTATGCCTCAATAGAGTGAGAAAGACACGAATTAAATTCAAATCTGTCTTATGCTGGCTCTTTAAACTTAAGAAAACTATTAACATTCCTAGAACCTCAGCTGTCTCTTCATAAAATGGTAATAGTATTAGCTAATCTCAGGGTTTCTAATAGTTATAGTGTCAAAATATATGCAAAGGGGATTGTAGGGGTTGAAATACTTGGAAACATAAAGATACCACTGGACACTGAGTAAACATGATAGAATGACCACAAGGTTTTCAACACTTATTCATACAAAAATCCATTAAAATTACAGCCCACAATTAAAAACGGTATAAATCCCAAATAACAAGGTTACTGGGAAGAGTAGCAAAAACAGAAGAGAGTTCAACATATATTTGGAAGACAGAGATTGGAGGAATAGCAATAAATTTTAGCAGAAAAGAGGAAGATTGGATTTTCCAACAGCATCTTGAAAAATAGAAGACCATGGACCTTCAAAATCTGTGGAATTTAAAAATTCGGAGAGAAGATAATTTTCAACCTAGAATTTTATATCCAGTCCAATTACCAACAAGTATGAAAGCAGAATAAACACCTATCAGATCTTCAGGGATTCAAAATATTAACTTTCTATTTACCCTTTCTTAGAAAACTAATGGAGGACGTGCCTTAGAAAGATGAGGGAATGAGCTAAGGAAGAGGAAATTGCACATCCCGTGCACAACAGAGTAACTGACACAGAGAAGTAAATAATATGTCCACCTGAAAACTCTGAACTAGCTCTAGACAGGTGCTGCAAGATGAGATAAGACAGTAGACTTGTGGGAAAACATGGAACAAACTTTGAAGTTTATTGATGCTTTTGAGGTTTCAATATTGTAATAGATATGGCATTTGACAGCTATATGGGAACATTTGAAAAAAACAACTATAGGTGCATGAAAGTCAAGAAAATGGAAAGGGTGATTTTTTTTTTTTTATTGATTAAGGTATTACATATGTATCCTTATTCCCCTACCCCCCGCTCATGCCCTCAACCCCTGGTGTCTGTGTCCATTGGCTAGGCTTATATGCATGCATACAAGTGAAAAGGGTGATTTTAAATTTGAGGAAATATAAAATCCATGTAAGGAAAGAAATATAATCACAGTATAATGCTTGAATCAGAAGATTGCAATAGTCACAATAGTGTATAAACTGACTATCTAGTGAACACAAAATTGTGATAAAACTACTTGGGAAGATGAGAGCAAGGGAGCTAAGACTGTGATACAACTGTTTTGGGAAGGTGAGAGTGAGGAAGAGGGAACAAGTGAGAGGGTGTTAGAGGGGTGAGAGCTGAATTCTCATTAACCAATAAATATTTGGTTAATCAATAAATAGTAGTAGAGCCCTAGCCGGTTTGGCTATAGACCAATGATGGCGAACCTTTTGAGCTCGGCGTGTCAGCATTTTGAAAAACCCTAACTTAACTCTGGTGCCGTGTCACATATAGAAATTTTTTGATATTTGCAACCATAGTAAAACAAAGACTTATATTTTTGATATTTATTTATTTATTTATTTTTTAAGGAATGTGATAATTGTGCATAGCTCATTTAGTTCAACGAACTTTATATTTTATTGATTTTTTACAGAGAGGAAGGGAGAGGGATAGAGAGATAGAAACATCGATGAGAGAGAAACATTGATCAGCTGCCTCCTGCACACCCCCCACTGGGGATGTGCCCGCAACCAAGGTACATGCCCTTGACCGGAATCGAACCTGGGACCCTTCAGTCTGCAGGACAACACTCTATCCACTGAGCCAAACCAGCCAGGGCTTGATATTAATTTTACATATTTAAATGCCATTTAACAAAGAAAAATCAACCAAAAAAATGAGTTCGCTTGTCACCTCTGACACGCGTGTCATAGGTTCGCCATCACTGGTATAGACAGTGTCAGCCTTTGAACCAAAGGGTCCCTAGTTTGATTCCAGTAAAGAACACATGCTTGGGTTGTGGGCTCGATCCCCAGTAGGGGATATGCAGGAGGCAGCCAATAAATGATTCTCTCTTATCATTGATGTTTTTATCTCTCTTCCCTTCCTCTCTGAAATCAATGAAAATATATTTTAAAAATAGTAGTAGAAGCACAGCATTTAGAAATATTGAAATAAATGTTAGAAAAAAACCAATGAAGTTGAAAGTGCTTGCTCATTGGAAGTTAGTCTGGGTTATAGGATAAGATAGTTTCTATTGTAGAATTTTCAGTACCATTACTACCTCATTTAAACTAGCCTCATGAACTACTGTGACAAAAAGAATATAAGTAAAGTTGCTGGAAATTGGGTCAAGTCAATCCCTTGCAATAATGTGGCCCTTGGTATATGAAGGTCGGATTACAGGCTCCACTGCTCTAGAGCCCAGTACAGACCCTTGAAAACATGCAGAAAGAAAGTGCAGGAAACAGAGAGTTCTTCCCACAGCTGACTCTATTGCCACGCCCTCTAAGCTGGGGATTACTCACACAATCAATAATGCATTAGGAGTCAAGGCCGCAAATGCATTAGCCGATATAAGTGCACACCGCTGTTCCTAATTTTGATATGCTCTTATTCATGGAGTTATTTTTTTGTTTTGAAAATGACATTGATGTCATAAGTGCCTTTAATAAAAATAGTTTTCTCATCTTGATTGAATCTTTTAAAAGGAAGAGTGGAGTTGGAGGGGAGAAGTACAAATGGAAGCATACGAAAGTACAAAGGCAGGGCAATTGTTCTATAACTTATTACAACTTCCATGCATAAATTGTATTACATGTGTGTGTTCATATCTGGATATGTGTGTTTGTACTTGCATACATGATATATAAAGAGATCATGGCGGGCTGGAAGAAGTCATCAAAATGTTTAGGTATTAGTCCTTAGCTCTGAGACATTGGACAAGACACTTAATTATCTGAGCCCGAGTCTCCCCATCTGAGAAAGGGTGTCATGAG